GGCAAAGATGGAAAAGAACAAAATTAAGCAGTTAGGGGGAAAGAAAAAGCAGTTGAAGCAAAAACATGCAGCAACTCTGCCTTCTTATTGGAGATGGGCCCAGTCCTGAAGAGCTATAGGAGAGTAGCTCAGCCGTGGGAATGGACCGGGAAAAACTAGACCAGGAGTAGCTTTTGCAGATGTTGAACAATTTTATAAAACTTAAATCAAACTGCTAAATGGCTTCTAGGATTCTGCCTGGAGCAGGTAGGCAAATGGAAACACTAGAGGAATAGCTAGAAGAGGCAGAGAAATGGGCTAGTTTCAAGGTGGCATATATAGACAGACAGCTGGCATCAAGCCTACTCCAACTCATGGCAACCTTACATACAATGAAATGAGATATTGCTGGGCCCAATGTCATCCTCACTCTCACAGGCATGTTCCAGTTCATGCTGTGGCTTTTATGCCAACCCACCTCTCCAAGGGTCTCCCTCATCCTCTCTGGCCCTCTACTTCACTAAATATTATGTGCTTCTCCATTCATTAATCTTTCTTGATGATGTGTCCAAGCAAGCAAGTTGGGACAACATTCTGCTGTGGTCCAGAGGGGTTTCATTAACTAATTTTCAAAAGTAGATAACCAATCTGTCTTAGTCTGGAAGCTCCACTGAAACTTGTCTACCATGGGTAATGCTGCTGGTATTTGCACTACTGGTGGCATAGCCTCTAGCATCATAGCAACACACAAGCCACCACTACTGTACAAGAAAATGAGACATTTGGTAGAAAGGTAGCATAGAACAATAATGACAGAGTTCTGAAGAGGAAGAAATAAAAAAAAGAGGTACCAGAATTGAGGCCACACTACTGCTATTTAGAGCCTGGTGCTCTGGAGGCATAAGCAAGAGAAATTTATGATCTTGTGGAGCTTTCTGTGGGCATCTGGTCAGAAGGAAAGGGCTAGGTGGCCTGTCTTCATTACTTCTTGTACATGGCCCACATAGGACAGAATGACAACCACTCTTCTTAGCCTCTTCTCAATTAGGGTATGAGATTAGGACACCCCCCCCCACACACACACACACAAAGGTCCTTTAGTGGCACACTTCAGTGCCATCTCTAAAATTATGTGGGTAATACCTGGTGGTTGAAAACCAAGAGAGTGATTCTCTCAACAGAAAAACAATGGGGGAAAAGAAAGAGTGTGAAAATATGTGATTTGGTGCTACCTCTATTCAATAGAGGAGCTCTGGTAGTGTAGTGCCTAAGGCACTTGACTGCTAACCAGAAGGCTAGCGGTTCAAACCCACCAGCCACTCCTTTCGGAAGGAAGGTTGGGCAATCTACTCCATAGTGATATCACCTCAGAAACCTAAGGAGGGGTCATTATGAGTTGGGTCTGACTCCATGGCACATAACAACAACAACAACTTTTCATTAGAGGTAAGACTTCTTTAAAGTTTTAAAATATAAAGATGTTACTTTGATGACTGGGATTCTCCTGACCCAAGCCATGGTCTTTGCAATTGCCTCAGATGCACATGAAAACTGAATAATGAAAAAAGAAGACAGAAAAATAATTGATGTATTTGAATTCTGGTATTGGTAAAGAACATTGACTATACCATCAAAAAAAAAAAAAAAAAAAAAAAACCAAACTCACTGCCATCGAGTCGAATTCCAACTCCTTCTTGGGTTTCTGAGGTGGTATCATCTTTACAGAAGTAGATTGCCCAGTCTTCCTTCTGGGGAGTGGCTGGTGGGTTTGAACCTCCAGCCTTCTGGTTAGCAGTCAAATGCTTTAGGCACTACACCACAAGAGCTCCTATGGATTGCTCAAAAAAGGAACAAACCACTCTGAGAAGAAATACAACCAGAATGTTCCTTAGAAAGGAGCTCTAGTGGCATAGTGCTTAAGGCATTTGACTGCTAACCCGAAGGCTGGCGATTCAAACCCACCAGCCACTCCTCAGAAGGCAGACTAGGCAATCTACTTCTGTAGTGATACTGCCTCTGAAACCCAAGGAGGGGTCACTACGAGTCAGATCCGACTCGACAGCAGTAAGTTTGAGTTTCTTAGCAGCAAGGATGGTGAGGTGTTGACTCAATTACTTTAAACACATCATCAGGAAAGACCAATCACTAGAAAAGGATATCATGTTTGGTAAAGTAGAGGGCCAGTGAAAGTGAGAAAAATGCTCAGTGAGATAAACTGAAGCAATAGCCACAATGATGGATTCAAAAATACCAGCGATCATGGAGATGGTACAGGTCAGACAATGTTTTGTTTTGTTACACATAATATTGTTAGGGGTCAGAGACGACTTGATGGCAGCTATCAATAACTATTCAATCTTACCAATCTCAAACTATTTTCACTTTGTTTTCTGATACCACCTAGTTAAATGCTATTAATAATTTCCATGGTCAAATCAGGTTTTGGAAACTTGATTTGCCTGCACAGGGTCTTCCAAACATAAACTTTAATAGAGAATGTTTGGAGAAGGGGAGAAGCGTACGTTGAAGGGGGAAAAGGCACAGCACTCTATGCTTTCTGGTTTGCAAATAAGATGTTTATGATGCATTTACTGAAGAACTTGTCCCCTTAGAATATGACATTGAAAATAGAAGAACTGATATGATTAAAGATTTTCTAGTCATAAAGGACTGAGTCACACCCCTATCTTAAATCACAACGAATGATCAAGCATAAGACCACTGGAGTAACTCCAGTGGGTGACTCAATTTTACATTGCCTTTGAAGATGGAGATATCAAACACTGGGGCTAGCATGTCCGATGATTTGTTTTCTTAAAATCACTTATAATTCAGGAAGGCCCCACCTAATTCATGGCAAGCAGGATATCCTTGTGTTTTCTCGCTGCGCCAGGATGCTACCCAGAGTCTAAGAAAGGAAGGAGGCAAAGCCCCAGGAAATGTCATGTTATCCTGAAAAATGCCTCTTGCAGAATCGGACTTGACTCACCACTGACATGGGCCACTCTCCCCATCCTCTCTGGAGAGATGCTCAGAGGACCTCTAACTTCCAGTTTCCTGAAGGGAAGCAGATGGACTCACCGATGCAGTGGGCAGTGTGGAGTAGAGGCTGACCAGCATTTCTGCCTTTCTCTCTACAGATTCCCAGTAGCTGTGAGCTTGCACTTCATATGGTTCTGGGCATTATACCTTCTACATAGAAAGGCACATGTAAGAACATACTTGCTCCCCTCATTTTGGAGCTGGAGAGATTTGAGGATTTTAGTGGTTAACTGATTTACGTCTGTGATCACACTGTTGCTGGTGAGAAGCCAGCATGCCACTTTGTAAACCTATAGTAAAACAAGACTTCCACTCCTAGGCCCACCTAGCTGGTCTCTGTCTCCCACTTTGTCTATTTGACTCTGACAGGAAAGGGAGAGGGGCTAAGAAAAAGGGACATGAGGCATTATTTTTTTCCTTGGTTTTCTTCTGTAATTGACATTGATAAGACTGGTCATCCTTCTGGCAAAGTAACCACAGATATTTAACATAAATCAACATCCATGTTTTTCCTTTCCTTGCCTTTTTTCTTTTTTTAAGTGACAGTACAGACTTCTACTAGAGGACAAAATGTCTTCATCTCAGTATCATGACAAAAGGGTCACATGGCTAGAATAAAACTTTTAGAAATGTTAAGGGAATAGTGACATAGAAAGAAAGGGAATAAATATTTAAACATGGAAATCTCACTCCAAGTACTAACGGCCCCAAATTACAAGACAGTAATGTAAACAATTGGTAAGTGGTGAAAAGTTGGTGGTAGAAGATGGTGGCTGACTCGGTGTGTGGGGGGGGAGGGCAGGAAGAAGCCATAAGAGACCACAGTGCAGGAGCGCTGTTCACAAAGCGCGTCGCCCTGGGACTCAGAGCCCAAACATGGGATTTTCCAGAGAATGCTGGCATGTTTATTGCCCAGCAGGCTCTGCCCTGCAGCCTGAGAGCACCTACCAGCTTTTCCAATTTGGCAAGCCCCCAACAACCAGAACAATGATGGCTTTTCTCCTGCTGTAATAATGCTAGTTCATCAGAGATCCATTCTGTGTGTTTCATTGAGTCTGAAAGCAAGCCTCTTCCTTCAGAAGAAATCCTGCCATGTTTTATACATTTTTAAAAAAGAATAATTGATCTGGTCAACTCATAAAGGTAGAAAGGTTTTGATGAGAAAGAAATTTCTGCTAGAATCTCATCATCTAAAGTAAAATGTTTGCTTTTGTTTTTAACACCTAAATACATAATATGGTACATGTTCAAGTCCAAACATTTCTCAGTACACTGGGGTCTTAGAGACACAGCTGGGGTGCTGGAATAAAGCTTCGTGCTCTGCCATGTATTCATTCATTCACATATCTATTCATCTAATATATATTTTTTGAGTATTTACTACGTGTTCCAAGTATTGGGGATATAGCAGTTAACTAGACAAAAAAATGTAGCTTCACGGAACTAGTACAGAGGAGGCCAAGAATAAACCCATGCAAATAAGTAAACATGATCATTCCAGGTGGTGATAGACTCTTTGAAGGAAAAACAGGGTGGTGTGGTCACTGCTGACCAGGATAGGTGATCAGCTCACCTGAGCTGGGGTGTGACTACTGAGAAGGAACTTGTGATGATCTGAGGGAAGACAGGGGGAATGGCCAAGGCAAAGCTCCTGAGGGAAACTTCAGGGAAAGACAAATTTCAGGGAAAGACAGAACACCATGTGCACTGAGAACAATCATACATATAGTGGTAAAAAATAGTTAAGATGATACATGCAGAATAACACAAAAAACTGTAAAGCCATACCATTGAAAGGCATTATGTTGCAGTGCTAGAATACCTGTACTGTCACCTAAAGAGCATCATTCTGCACTTAAAAAGGACTAGGGTGGGGACTATGTATTTCAGTTTTCACCTTCCACTTCTAACAAAGAAGGGCAGGATCTACAAAAGCCTTTTCAAAGACAGCACAACCCCTTGGTGTGAAATCGTTTCCTTCACATACCTGGAATCCTATTGAGCGTCACCCAGAAATGTTCATCAGGACTGAAAGTGTCTTTGGACCACTGGAGCAAATCGATAGCCCGTGGGTCATGGAGAACAAAGTTGGTAAACTCTCTTGATAGAGCAACATAGGCAGAACCAAAGTAAATGGTGAGATTATGGGGAGGAGGTGGCTTCAACGCTGTCGTCCTGATCACATAGGAAAGCTCTTTGCCCAGGTGCTCTTGGTGGACATACTTAGTCCTGCCAATCGCGTGAGCTGGGGGCAGCACCCCTGGGGTAATATTTTTCCCTTTAAACCCTTTCAGATAGTGAACTATCTCCTTGTTGGTTTTCAGGGGGAAATCTTGCCCACAGGTGTTAATCACGTATTTCCAGGGAACCTCCAAGGCTGCTAGGTCTCTCATGCAGTTCAGGTCAGCCTGGAGCCTGGAAATCCCCCCATAGACAACCGGCTCCATCTTGGAAGCCAGGAAAGCATTTGGGAAGCAGCTCAGTAATTGCTCCACAGCATCTTTAAATTCAGCTGTGGACTTCTCATCCACGTGAACGCAGTAGACATTTTGGGGCATGTAAATAGCCCTGAAGAGCCTTGAAAAGGTATCAAAATTGTGATGAATGACCATGACATATGCCAAAGGAAATTCCGCTTCTTCTTTAGATAAGGGGGTAGTGATATAGTGGCTTTGGGTCAAGTATTCCTTGCAAGAAGATTTCTCATACATCATGAGTTTGTTCCTCCACAGGAAAGATGTTTTCCCTTTGAGAAAGGTTGTGCAGACTTGAGACAGCAACCAAGTCTCTGAGGTATTTAGTTTCTCGAAGCCTTGATCACCCCCAAAATTGAACACATAGAAGACGATAAAAATGATGACACCAGAGACAGAAACTATAAAGAGGGAACGCATCAATGAAGGCATGCCTCCATCAAAAGCTGGAAGTCCTTTTCCAAACTTACTATTTCTTCTGAGTTCTTATTTTGATGCATACTCCAGTAATTCCTACACTGAAGGAGACGCTTTCAATTTATTCCATTTCATCCCAGGAGCACAGCTGCCAGCTCTCTTCCCGTGCTGATATTAGAAACTGATCCACCTCGGTCTCTGCCTCTCTCAAACCTCCTTTGTTTAAATCCCAGTAGCAGGTTGCTTAAGCCCAGCCTTCCCTCCCTCCCTCCAACTCCCTGTTTGCATCTGTTAGCTGTTCTCCTATAGGTCGGGAAAACTCTGGTAACTCTTTTTTTTTCTCCTGCAGATTTAGTTTCTCACAATGTCTTATCTTTAATTTCCCGTGTTTTCTCCTCTCCTGTTATTGCCATTCAGGGGATTAGCACAGTGAAAGCCAAAGTTGAAATGATGTGTTCTGACAGGCGAGCTGTTTCCTGCCAGTGCTGCTGCACTCCCTGCCTGCCCACCCCCACCAGTTCCATGGCAATGATCCACAACCTGTCTCTTATGCCTGCACAGAATGATCCAAGGATATAGCATAGCCTTCATTCTCAAACATACTGCTTTAATGGAATGTGATAAAACCAAAAAAAACAAACTCACTGCCGTTGAGTCGGTCCCAACTGATAGCGACCCCTCCTTGGGTTTTGGAGGTGGTATCTCTTCAGAAGTAGATTGCCCAGTCTTCCTTCTGAAGGCACTACGCCACTGAGCTTCCAAGGAATGTGATAAAGGTGACAAAATTTAAAATAAAAGGAAACTTCATCCATCCTGGCTCCACTGTAATACTTTCCAGCCCCATGCCACTCAGTCAGTCCTAAAACACAGTTTAGCAACAACTCCAGTCTCAGTCTCTAGACCTGAACTGGCAGAGCCTTCAGTCCTATGGATGGGAAATTAGGTGATAGCTCATCTCTTCCCACTTCCAAGATCTGCTGTGGTGTTTGTCACAGTGTTGTGGTCAGATGAACAAGTCCTGATCTGCATCCCAAATTTAGATGAGACCTTAAAGCTTCATTGGAAAGAACTTGAATCCTGGCCACAAAGGATGTTCACATTAGAAGATCTAGGGACAGCCAGGTATTAACCACCCAGAGAGCATGGTTTAACACTCAGAGAAGTATTTCTACCTGCCCAGTAACTCTTACTGACCACCTGAGAAAGGTGGTCTGTTCTTCCCTATTTGCAAAAACAGTTGTGTATTGTCTAAGGAATATCAAGCTCTTTTACTTCTAAAGTATTCCTTTTCAATCTTGCATTTTTCCACGAGCTATTTTTCAGTACTCATAGCAACTCATATCTAGGCCTTGAAATCAACTCCATGGCACACAGAACATTTTTCCATAAGGAAGGCCCCTGGGTAGCGCAAATGGTTTGTGTTCAACTATGAGTTGGAATCAATTCGATGGCAACTAACAATACTAACGTAAGGGTTGGAGGTTGGAACCCACTCAGTGGCACTTTGGAGGAAGAGCCTGGTGATCTGCTTCCATAAGTATTACAGCCAAGAAAACCCTGTGGAGCACAGGTCTACTCTGTAACATACAGTCGCCATGAGTCAGAATTGACTCTACTGCAGCAGGTTAGGTTTATTTTTGAATAAAATAAAGATTAATTTATTTTGTTTAATATCCTCTTTGTCAGATGACTTCTTAAACACCATTTCAACTATTAACTGCCTTCCATCCCCTGCCCGCACTATCTGAACTTAACACCTCAGAACCTACACACTGTGTAAGTATTAACTCACAATGGAAACTGAGCTC